GAGTCTTCATTTAATAGTGTGGGGGAAAATGTTTGGTTTGATTGCACAGAGAAATTCAACGGGCACCATTTGGACTCCTGCCAATATTTGCTGTGTTCAGTTTTCTTCTTTGTCCTCTCATCTGCTGGCTTTTGGGTCCGCTGATTATAAGATCTCTTGTTATGATCTGCGACACACTAGAATACCGTGGTGCACATTAACTGGCCATGGAAAAGCTGTCAGTTATGTGAAGTTTTTGGATTCAGACACTCTTATTTCAGCATCCATAGATAATACGTTAAAGCTCTGGGACCTCAAGAAAACCAGCTTAGAGGGGTTGTCCCCAAATGCTTGCTCATTGACCTTTTGTGGGCATACTAACGAGAAGGTCGGTTTCCATACACCGTAGATATTTAATTTCATCTCCAATAGATTAGGAGTATGGGTTGTTGGCTTTTTTTTCCAACTTTTTATCTTGCTCTTTATGCAGAACTTTGTGGGCTTGTCGGTGTTGGATGGGTATATAGCATGTGGTTCTGAAACTAATGAGGTAATTTTACTGAATTTTCAACAATTTTTTTGATGAACCAAGTATGTACTTGCGTTGCTTGATGGTTTTTGATGCAAGAATGTGGCTTGGTTCTGTCCTACTTTTTTTGAATACAAACTACAAACAATGTGAAAAATAGAAAACGAAACAGGATAAAACTGATAATTGGTTTGTGTCTTCGGTGTGTTTTAAATATCGTTGATTCAGAATACCATAACAGGCTTAATGTTAATGGAAAATGGATTGGTTGGATTCGGTTAACTTCATTAACCAATATAAATAAGGATATATGACATCATTATTAACTCATGTTATGGCGAAGTTTCATGTATTATTTCCAGAGTTATAACTGAAGTATGCTTTTTCTTACAGTTTGATCACTTAATTAAATTCTGTCTAGTTTTTCTAATGGAAGGCCCGACTCCATGTTGATGCTGCTACATCATGTTGGTATTTTCTGTGTTGGACATCCATTAGGAAAATAATGGATTTTAGGGGTTGTTTGAGCCCCATTTTCTTCAAAAAATGCATTTTCAAATAGTGTTATGATTGGAAATGTGTGGTTAAAAATAAGGAAAAGTTTTGGATTTACGTGTAATATTATTTTATTGAAAAATATGTGGTTAAAATGAGGTCAAATCACTGTTAAAGAATGTATTTTGATGAAAAAAATGGGGCTCAAACGAGGGCTTAATCGGGTGACCAAACTGGAATAAAAATGAACTTAATGATCACTTTTACAAAATAAAGTTAGACTAATGTGAAACATTGCCATAAGTTGACTGACTATGTTTTTAAGTCCATAGAAAGAATAAATGTCTTCTCTTTTGCTTCTAGTAGCTGGATGAGTGAATCTGTTTGTGTGATACAGTCATACCATTTGACCTGAATTATTAGCAGTTTAGCACCAAAGCGTTGTTATAAGCGTTGAGCACCCCAAATGTTTGACAACCTCCTTTGCTAACTGATTTAAGCAATTGACCGATTCCTTTTCTTTCAGGTTTATGCTTACTATAGATCTTTGCCAATGCCAATTACTTCTCACACATTTGGAAGCATTGACCCCATTTCTGGATACGAGGTTAGCGATAGTAAAGGGCAATTTGTTTCAAGTGTTTGTTGGAGAAGAAAATCTAACATGGTTGTTGCTGCCAACTCTAGTGGAAGTATAAAGATATTGCATTTGATATGAAGGTTCATTCTTCTTATACTTTATAAATAAGATTCATTTCATTAGATGTTTCTTTAGTCTTGCCTCTCTAATTGGTGGTCTTGAGTTGAATAAATCATCAAGCATTGGTTGTGCTGAGAAATTATCCATCACAGTTAAAAGGCTAGCAGTCCTGAAT